AAGTATCAGAACTGGTGTAGGCTGATAAAACCTGTGTCAAGACAGACACTTGCATTGGTTCAAGTAATTGTACACCACCTGCTTCTGTTCTTCCTTGATAAATCATTACTATGTGTATTCATCAAAGAAAAGCATTGCTGAAAGAACAATACTGCTAAATTATGATTTTATTGAATTCCATTGATTTCCAAGACTCCTCCTTTCCTTCTCTTTATGAAAATACCAAAATAGCCCTCAGCTATAGTTCTGTTGTAAGTTCCGTGCTGCTAAACCTGGGCAGACACAGTGCAGAGTACTGCTTCAAAATCAATCAAAATCAATCAAAAATAGGACATATGGATTGGTGCCTTCCTGTTACAAACACTTTCACCTGGTTGACCTCAAATAAACAAGCACACATTGATGGCTGGGAGTATTAAATCTGCTTTGTTTCTACCTATAACACACAACTTAGCAGCTGGAGCTGCAACCCTGCCACACACACTAATTAATGTCACTTTAGGGTAATTGTTGTCAGTTTAAGTTCTTGATTCTATAAGTCTAAAACCCACAAATAACTATAAAAACGTCCAAAAATATTACACGAATACAAGTGACTAAAAAGAAACCTCCATTTCCCTTACAACATTGCCCAAAGATTCAGATATCCTATGGAGATGAGAATATTACCATCACTAGGGGTTTATTATAATCTTTTGCCTTAATGCTTTTCTTTCTTGCACGAGACAGCTCAAAAAGATCTAGAAATGTTCATACACATTTTCATTATGGATATCTTGAATCCTGAGCTCATTAGTGGTAGAAATCAAACCAGTTTCTCATAGGCAATTACATCTACCAGCACTTAATTTTCCTAGCCAAGATACAATTTAATTTAATCCTCTGTGTTCCTATTAATTGTTTTTGACATCCCTATTAAGGTTGCAATGGTTAATATTATGAGCAGGACTTAATACTCTGCATTATTTTCAAGGATTCATGGCAGCTGCTCAAATTTACCAGCTTTTCAAACCCATTACAGAGTATCTGTTTAAAATGTTAGTTGAATTGAAGAATTAAAAAAATAATAGTTTTTGACCATGACAAATATTTTCACTACAGATAGCTGACTTTGATGTTGCAAGAAACACTGTACATGTGAATTACAATTATAATTGTACTTTTAGGGTAAAGGCAATATCTATACTGGAATATTATTATGATTCAGTAAAAAGAAAAAAGCACACATTAAAGACTGAAAAGTAGTATTTAAAGAAAATGCTATTGAAATGTGTGCAAATCTCTGGAGAGTAACTTCAAAAGTAATTCAAGTTTGCATTTGGTATTAAAACGCTGCAGTAAGATATAAATTGGCAGCTTATTTTTTAGCAGAAAGAATTCTCATCTTTCAAAGTATTTTAGAAACAAACACAAAAAGGCACATTTAGCAAACAATAAAGAAGTTTTAAAGTTAGAGGTATAACCGTGTTAGTCTGTGACTTTAAAAACGAGTAGTCCTGTGGCACCTTAGACACTAACAAAAAAAATATATAAAGTATCACGAGATTTTATAGGCAAAACCCACTTCTTCTCAAGATCATCTCATCTGAAGAAGTGGGTTTTGTAATTAGAGATAATTTATTAGTCAAAATTAAGTTAAAGTTCTAATTTGATAATTGACTAAGCAGATTTTCCTCCTGTATGTATTTAGATTCATATCTGCTAATTTAGAGACAAAAATTAGTTTTTCTACTTTAACTCTTACAGCAGAGAATAGAAAGTGATGTGTATTCCATTCTTCCTTCAGCAGAATTGTGCATTTCATCACAATTGTTTGTCAAATTCCAATCAATTATACTTGTGGAAATGAAATGAAGACCAGAGATTTATACTTCTGCCAGTGAGGGGATAATGAGGTCTGAAAAATTTTATTACAAGTACTCAAAAAGATAAGGTCCCTTCTTGAACCTCACATACCAGAGTACATTTCCAGGGCGGATAATTAGGAAAAAAAACTTTTGACACTGAGCATTCCTGACATAACAATAACTGAAACCAAATGAATAAGAGAGCCCTGTGATACCATTCTTGCATTATTACCTGTCAGAGAATACTGTACATTAAAGCAATACTGTCAACTTGAATGCTTGTCAATTTAAAAAAGAAAAAGTATGAAATGAATTAATATTAGCATCTGATAGTATAAATATCACTCAGTGCCCTTGCAAATTCTGTGGTTTTATAGTCACAGTCTCTTATTTTTCTTTTGTCTAATTTTTTATAGCTTACTATGTGAAATCACTGAAGCACACAGAAAGTGATTTATGAAATACCATCTATTTCACAGTACTACAAAATAACTACATTATTATATAATGTGAGTTGCAGGTGTTAAGTACCTCTGAAAACTAGGGCATTGGAAGAGGGGAAGGGATAGATGCTCTGGTCAGTGGCTACTGTAAAAATGGGAGCCCCTATAAAAATGTGTGCCCTGTACATTTTGC